TGTTGGTGTGGTGGGGCAGGGCAAGAACAAAAATGAGACTGTAGTGAAAACTTCCCACCAGTCAGGTAAGAGAGGCAAAAGTAATTCGATCACTGAGGCTGTGTCTGATTTCACTTCTTCAAGAAGCTGGGGGCAAGGATTGTCCTTTGACCTTGTGAGAACTGAGTTCTAATTTCTAAGGCTACATATCTCACTCTGATTGGGAATCTCTGTGTCTGGGCGGAGCTTTAAGGCTTGATGTCACATATTGTGCAAACTTCTTGCTCTCTAATACAGATGTGTACAGTGCAGTCTATCCTGTAGCATAATTACTGAAGAAATATTTCTTTTCAATCTGTCCAACTATTTTAATTAAACTTGCAGGAGTTTTTGGTGCATTGAGATTTCAGGCCCTTTATGAAGTTAGGCTGATGTTGGCCAACAGATTCAAAAGTCATTTGGAGGGGAGAATGATCAACAGCAGGCACACACATACACACAAGAGTCAGAGTGACTGCAGAATCTTATTTCCTTTCTAAACTGACTTTAAAGAAACCTCATCTCATTTGTTTCCTTCTCAAGTCAGTAAGATTTTAATTTCTTAACTATATTTCATGCATACTCGGTGATGGGTGATATTTGGAGCTTAGAATATGTACACGAGTTAGAAATTATAGAGACACAGGAGAGAGAGACCAGCTGGATTTGCCAATGAGAGCGGCAGATTATATTGCAAGTTCTTTTTTTACCTCTTCTTTCATTACAGGTAAGAAAGTAGCAAAGTATTCCTTTGTCTCTTTTCTTCCATTTCAGCAAATGCCTGGAACTCAAGTTCATTGAGAACGATGGGTTCATCTGCTTCTGCAGGTGAGTGTTCCCATCAGTATTTCCTTATTCAGCACATGCTGAAAGTGATTCTCTCCTCCACCTCTGGGGACTTGGACCCGAATGTCTAGTTCTAATTTCTAAGTATTTACAGACCACATCCAGATTCCGTTTCCTTCTGTTTACATATCATCTCCTTCTACTCTGATTCTCTGTTGGTTCAAAGCAAGGGATGCTTACCCATAGTCTTTTATGGCCTATTTACACCCTCCTTGCAGAAGTGCAACGATTTTGTAGAGGAAATGAAGCCCTGAGGAAAACACCTCCCCAGTTTGTTAGATTATACAGGAGGTTAGAGAGAGGCCTGCAGCTTTTCGCTGTGGTGAAAAAGATTGAAAACATATGAGACAGAAGAGTTTCAATCCTGATGCAGCTTATTTCTTCCTGTTTTTTTTTTTTTTTAATACAGCCAAAACCGCTTGTGTCACTAAATCTGTCTCAGCCATGAGCTATGGAATGAGTAGTGGAACCAAAACTAGTGAAAGGTAGGCATTTTTCATAACATTTTGTTAGACCATTTTGTTCATGATCTAAATAGACAGATATTCTGCTGACTTAGAAGACAGGTGAGTCTCAGCTGCTATAACTTAAGCTTATTAAGACTGTGTGTCTTCCCAAGGGGTAAGTTGAGCCTTGATCGGAAAAAATATTTCATAGAACAATTTAAAGCAAACATAATCAAGGAATGCAGACCTATGGGGCTAGCCAATAAAACACTGCCAGCACTCAATTATTGTAGAGCAAGTTGTGAGCTTTATCTCTTTGCAGAGGAGCTACAACTTGTCTGTATCTCACATAAGAACGGAAGGTTATGATTCAAAAGTGATCAGACACCATGAATAGGTACATGCAGCCTGAATACCCAGGCAGGGCGGTGCTGTTTTCCTTGGTATACTTCATAAATCTAGTTAATGCTTGGTGAATGAGTCCTCGAGAAAAGGATATCTTCCTGTCATAATGTGTCCTAGTAAATGTCTTTAACAAAAACTGGCTTTTGTTTTTGCTTGGTAGTTTGCTGACTTTCTTAGTCTAATCTTCCCCCCACCCCTAAGACTTGCATTTTATGGGTTTTTGTAAGTCCCCAGATGATCCTTTAATGGCCATGTCAGACCCTTTGAAGACACTTGTAAAAAATAGTCAAAGTTTCTGTTTGGGGCTTATTTTTGGAAACAAATACATGACTACTATCAAACATTCTTAATTTGTCTGACCTAGAGTTTAGCTTGTAGCTAAATGCCTTGCAGGATACTGAATACTCTTAGCCCTCCTCCAAAAGCTGAGTACCACACATTTTTGATTGAGAGTCACAGTGTCATGCAGTATCACAATTACTACTGGAATACTCAGGTGTCCTGGGCATGCAAAGTATTTATCAGGAAAAGTGGAAGGATGACTTTTTAAAATATCCTAAACTAGGCTTGTATCTGCCTTGAAAATTATCCCACATTTGGCATTACATTTTTTCTGAATTAGTTCCAGCATCAGCACTTTGATGTTTGTGTCATGATAAACTGAGTAACGTAGAAAACTTGCTGTCAGGATATCTGTCCTCAGGCTGCAACAGAAATAAGCGTGTGACTTCAATTTCATTGTTCTTTCCTCAGTTTTCCCTGCTCTTTAATGGTGAGAGCACTTCCAAATGCCCTGTGTGATTTATCTCATTAATGTTGGTAAAATGCTTTAGGGGTCAGATAAGTGCAAGTTAAATATAATCCATTGCCTCTGGATGAAATTATCAGCTTGCTTTCAATGAAACACCAGTGCCTGAGCTCAGAATTCTGCATACTGTAGGAATTTTAAAATTCCTGAATTTCTATTCAGTGCCTGCTTCTAAGTGGAATTTTTTTAATGCTTAGTTGTTCTACTCCGTGTTATAAGGCCTTTGTGACTTGGGCTGCAATGTCACAAGACTGTTTTATTTGTAGAAGTACCTTAGACATTTAAGTACTTAAATAGTGTTTGTCAATAAACCTTTGGGTTTTGCTTAAATTGCTTCTGACTCATTCAGTTCTTATTGAAACTGTTTTGGGGAGGTTTAGAGTAACCACCCGTTGGACTTCTTGCTGGCTCCCTGGACGCGGTAGAGTTGTTTGTTTTTAACCACATACTCTCTGTGTTACTTTTCTGCAGTGCCACTGACAGTTACTATGATGTAACCCCCAAGTCTTGCTCCCCTCCTCCTACTGTACCTCGCCAAGCCGAAAGGAGGCGAGAACTGGTTCGATCTCAGACACTTCCACGGACTTCAGGAACACAGGCCAGGAAAGCACTTTTTGAGAAATTTGAACAAGACAGTGGAAAGTATGTTATCCTCACCCCACTCCTACCCCTACGTCCAGAACGGGCTTGGTAATTGGAAGCTACATTGTAAACTGTTGACAGCAGAGGATAGTTAGTGTAGCAGGATTCTTCCAAAGTAAAATTTTGAGCTAAGGGGCTGTGAGGTCATATATAGCTCTGCTGATGTCACAGACAGAATTCTGGAAATTCATAGGTATAGATTGCTCTTGATATAGAATTGTTTAGCTGAAGAAGTGGATACCTCTTTTCTGAGTGTTGTGAGAAACCTTCAGCTTTTAAAAGGAGCCTGGAAATATAGTGGTTTTCTGCAGTCATTCATTAAGGGCCAAATGCATGTACTATCTTTTATGCACCATGATCAGGGTATGATTTAAACGGAAGAGGACTTGTAGACCTGGCTTTAGTGAAATCAGAATGAGTTTATCTTGCAAGACTAACAGTTAGAAGTTGGCCTGGATGCAGTACATGCAGTCCATGAGTATGTTTAAGTTTTGGGTTTTTTTTCTAAAATGTAATTTTATCTGGTCTCTGTGTTAATCTTCCAGAGGAAAGGGAGAATCCAGAGCTAAGCTGAAGAGGTCGCAGAGTTTTGGTGTTGCCAGTGCTAGCAGCATTAAGCAAATTCTTTTAGACTGGTGTCGCTCAAAAACCATAGGATACAAGGTGAAGATATGCTAGCATTTTCAACTCTTATTTTTCAGAAGAATTTACCCCCAAAGTTTGCTCAAAAAGTGAATGTAAAACACGTTTGACAGTGAACTGCCTTCATCGCTGTTTTCCAGGATGATGAAGTACTGTATGATGCTATGTGAGCAGCACTAAGTGAATCACTGCATGAGAAATACTCTGTATGCCTATCCAAGCAATGCATTAGTGTTGGCTGAAAGACTACATTTCTGTGCATATGGATACAGACCTCACTATACACTGGTGGTTTTTGGTTTTGTTTGGTTTGCTTTTTGTTTTAGCTTCAGACTGTGATTTTTGCATTCTTGTTATATATGGTAAGATATGGATAGCTTAATAGTGTATGGAGACTATGTTCCCTTTGTTACACAGCAGACCAAAGTACGCTCCACTGGAGTTAAAGGAAGTGAATTTGTATAAAACGGTGGAGGTTGAATCACGCAGTTTCAGTAAGCTCATTTCTATATGGTTCTATCAGTATAACTAAGAAGAGAATTTGGCTGTTGAGATTTTATGAGTTTTACCTGGCTGCTGCAAATCCCAAAGCATTTTTCAAGGAGAAAAGCTAAAAAAAAAAAAAAAAAAAAAAAAAAGGAATCAATTATTTCATGCTATGTGTGCCTTAACATTATTGTAAAAATATACATGATGTTGCCAAACCCTAAAACAAAGCATACTTAAGCAGACCTAATGAGAAAGACTTACCAGAAAGATTAAGGGTGGGAAGGCAGCATGAAACAGGAGCCCAAGTAATGTTTCATTTCAGTGAGGAAATCGAAACTGACAGTAAGCTTTAGTACTAAGAGTCAGGTTTCTAGTAGGCTTAATTCTTCCCATATTTCCACCTTTCTGTGTGTAAACAAGCATTCAACTCAATTGCACTAGGTCTTGTTGAATAGCAAAGCAAGCAATCATGGTCTTTATCCAGTGTTATGCACTGTCACAAAATTGACCATTCTTCAATTGCAAATACTACATGGGGATAAGCAGTGGCCATAATTTCCACAGATACTGAATGGGCACACCGAGCCTGCTTCAGAGTTCACTGAAGTTAACAAGAGTCTTCCCAGGACTTTCAAAGCAGTTTGGCTCAGGAACTTTCAATGTGTGTGTGTCTGCTTTACAATTGTGCTTTTCATGTAAGTGCATGTCACTGCTGAGGATGTCAGTTTTTCTCAGGATATAAATAATGGATATACAAAGAGAGGGAGAAAAACATAGGGCCTGTGCTTTGTATGCTTACTCTGGTTAGTGAAGAGCAGGATAGAATATAGCAGTGAGCAAAAGCAGCTGTCTTCCCAGTTCCCTGTGCTGCATTAACATGCATATTTTTTCATCATGACAGCACATTGATCTCCAGAACTTCTCCTCAAGCTGGAATGATGGGATGGCATTCTGTGCCCTTGTGCATTCTTTCTTTCCTGAAGCTTTTGATTACAATAAGCTTGACCCAGCTAATCGCAAGCAGAACTTTGAGCTGGCTTTCACCATGGCTGAGTGAGTACCATATTAGATCTCTTATGAAGTGCTTCCAGTTCAAGTCTCAGAGTTCATTATTGGTGTATCCCATCTCTTCTCATGTTTTCCAGTTCTTTTTGACCTTCTTATATAGAAAAGAGGAAAAAAATCATGGTATGCTTTGTTATAGGATTTTTTTTTTCACTGCTAGTCACATCAATGGTATCTGTAGCATGTATTCCAGTATCTAATTCTTCTACTCAAGTTTCAGTGAATGGGACTATTTGAGTTTTTGATTTTTTCCTATTAGCCCTGGAATAAAGTCACAGTTTTCCATTGGCAACATCTCCGCATTACCTAACATTAACATTTCATTGTTCAATAAAATGATGTGAGTAATCCCCGGGACATTATATGCTTCAATAGTGGTTGCTATCAGAGCAGCAAATACATCTTAGGAGTAGTTGCACGCCTTAGCTTGAGCTAAGTTGAGTTGATGGTTGTTTTGTTATTACTACAGGAAAATGGCTCACTGTGATCGTCTTATAGAAGTGGATGACATGATGGTGATGGGCCACAAGCCAGATCCCATGTGTGTCTTCACCTATGTACAGTCTCTGTATAATCATCTACGTCACTTTGAATGAAACCATGGCCATCTCTCCAGCCAGAACGGTCAAGTACATTATACTAGTGGGAAGACTGGTGTTTTACAGATAAAATGCAGTGTAGTTTTTTTTTTCTGTAAAGTTTTTTACTGCCCTGCTTACATTTAGCTGTGCTGCTGACTGAAGTGTTGCTGAGCAAATTGTTGATGACAACAGTCAACAGTCATCTCTCAAATTCTTTATGACAACAGTATGTCAATAATAAACCATGTTTTAAAAATACGAAAAGTATAGAGAAAGGTAAATGCTGTCATTTTGGTGCTTAGTAGTAAGCTATTTTTGAATATTCTTGCATTGTAAGATCACTGAAAGCTGATTCCTATGTCAGGTTGGGGGGGGACACAATTTTATCCAGTGACAGGTAACTGCTACAAAGCTGTTATCTCTTAATATGCAGTTTCAACACCATCAGACAGCATTTTTCCTTCCACTTCTCTGTGCTACCTCAGCATAAAAGAAAACACAGGCCTACCTCAGTAGAAAAGTAAAGGAGAACTCTGTTGAGCAAATATAAGCTTGACGATCACTGGAGCATCAAAATCAACACATTTGAGTGCCTCAACAGACTTACACACTGTCCTCTTAGAGCAGACAGAGAATACCAGCTCTGACTTACTGAGGTGACCCCAGACATCACCATCTTGCACAGCAGTGTTTGTAGTGGTTGAATCTAAAGTGATTTTGCTCAGGAAAAGTGGCTGAGGCCTCTACTGGAGTCCTGGATTCATTTATTTTTTAAGAATAGCAACAGTTGGGATTGTTCTGTGTGAGACTGTGTGCATGATTTAAGACTGCAGAAAAATGAGGGAAGTTAACAAGGTACAAAATCCTCTGAACACTTGTAAGATAATCGACTGCAGCATGCTTTCGCCTTGTTACTGGAGGACAGCAACTCTAACAATGACAGGAATAACATTTTAATATTCCATTCAGTACTTGTGCTGTCTGTTAAGTGGCCAAGCAAGGTGCAAAAAGTGTGAAGTGAGAATTCTGAAATGCCTTAGGCTAGTTTCTAATTTCAGTTAAATTAGTGCTAAATGCAGAATATTTCACTTAACGAAAGCGGGATTATTCCAGATTTATATCAGGGAAAAAGGTTATGTTCTACCCTTTCTGGCGTTCTGTTTGGTAGATCAACAGAGTTTTGTTTTCACAGTGAATGTTAAAATGATTTTTTTAAATGCACTAGAAAAAAAAAATTATTCCCCGATAACAGATTCATACAAAATAGAGTGTTCCGTTCATCCTAAAGAATGGGTTACCTGCGTTTGTTTGTGTTCTTGGGTAGGTATTTATAAAGATGACTTTGGTTCTGTATTGATGACTGTTTATAATAAAATATATGTCAAACAGTTTTCAGAAGTACAGCTTCTATTTAGAATGAAGTTACAGATGACAAAGTGGTCAGTTATGATACTGTATCCTCTGAATTTTGTTTTCAAACAATACAGAAGTTCACTGGCATCTGAAATGGGAATTTGGTTCAGCCAGCAGTCTCATGCTTTATTCTAATGCCATTGTAGTGTGAAAAACCACCAACAAAAAACTTGTTTAGCACTCAGAGATGTACTAATCTATGAATAGAGCCCATCCAGCAGCTATTTATTGTTACTGATGATAAGCACATATAATCAATCAGAAACATCATTCCAGAAATCTTTTGTGTTTTCTAATCGTATCTACTAGGTAGCTCAGTTTACCTGACAGCAGGTTTTAGAACAGAGTGAGTCATACAGCAGGGAGCTGTGGTCATTAAAAAAACCACTGGGCATAAACACCTTGACCTTGAACAGATAGCTTCCAACAGTGACCTGTGGCCAATTTCCAAGCTTCAATCAGCGGCTTTTTTCATTCAGATGTATAAAGGCAATGTAGAGTGCGGCATGTGAAAAACAAACACAGTTTGAAAAGTTGATGTTATTTGACCCATGTTTCCAGGCAGAGGAGTTGCTTTTTCATCCAACTGAAATCTGTAATCACATAATCACTGTCCTGACACCTGCAAACCCGTTCTTACATTTTCTGTGAGAAAGGCAACGCACGGTTTAAAACCTGCAGCAATGCCACCTACAGAGAACAGTAAGGCATTATGCAACACTGTATAGCAACAGGAAATAACCCCTTAGCAGATGCTGTGCAAAACCACTGCTCTGTGCTGCATCATTTATCTGAAGTTGCAAAAGTATTAAAATTCGATTTCAGAAACTTCAGATCGGACGCTGCAGGATGGTGAGGGAAGCCTGTCTGTCCTCACGCGCACAGCATCCTGGCAGGGAGGATTACCATCCTACGCTAACTAGCAACGACCGAGCCCAGGCAGAAACACGACTAACCCCCACTTGGACCGGAGCAGCACCCCGCGCCGGGCAAGGCCCCGCCTCAGCGCTACAAACCCCAGTACAAGAAGCCCCGCAGCAGCCGCCCCGCTCGCCTCTTGTCACCGACCCGAGCCGCCGTTCCGCCGACTGAGGCGGGCGGGACGGAGCCGGTCGCCCGGCGGGGTTCCCTCTCTCCCCTGTTCGCGACCGGAGGTTTCCGAGTTAACGGGCAACAGGTTTTGCGCTTTTAATGGAGGCAACAGTTATTCAGAAGGAAAAATACGAATAGAGCAGCCTTGATGTGAGCCGTCTGAGTGCGCTGATTTACGAGTCTGCGTCACTGATTACTGTGCCCCAAGCGTCACCTGGTCATAGTTGTGCTTTGTCTCATGAAGCAGAAGCCTTCTTCGAGTACCTCTGGCCACACTTCACATCCTCCTGCATCAGTTAGTATGTGTTGTTTGTGCTGTGTTGGCTCTGCAGGCTGTTCTTAGCTTCTTTTTGAACTCCAGGACCTTCTGTCAGGTAAATTGCTTCAGCTTTTATGCCCAGCCCTTGTCTTCTCTGTGTTTTCCTTTGGCTATCTCTGAAATATTTGCATTTTCCACTACACCAGTGTTTCTTTAACTGCAACCCCTTTGTGGCCCCTTTGGGTACGTGCAGATTCCTGAATCAGTAAAAGCTCACAAGAGATGTTGTAATTACCACTTTTAATGATCACTGAGAGAATTGAGTTGCTGTTTGAGACTAAAGATGGTTATCAGATGTCCAACTGTCAATGCACTTTATTTGCAGATAGTAATTGCATAGTAGCTCCTTCCCCCACCCCATTTGCCTATCTTGGACCACCTAAACATCCTTTTACTCATACTGCTTCTTTATTTGGAGTTGCTTTGAAACTCACTGGGAACTCAGAAAAACTGCTGTGACCTAACCATACCTGAGCTGTGGAGAGAGGACATGTCACTGTAGCCTGTGATCTAATGTTCTTGTGTCACTGCACGCTGGCTCCTAGTTGCCTTTGTCCCATATAAGGAAAGAATATAGCTGCCGTGAAGATGGAATGGACACAGCGCACTGCTAGCAATATCGTACAGGCAACAATTTAAAAAGCCATGTACCAGGCTCTTAATTTGTTTTCAGAATCTTTATGAATTTCTGTAATGCATCTATCAAAAAAAAAAAAAATCTGTCCAAAGCTGCTTCAATTAATGACACAGATAATACATTTTAAAAAAAAAATCCAGTTCAGCATGACAGATCAGCAGGTAGATAGGCAGACACTTATCTTGGAATGAGGAAAGGGGAGCCCTATTCAACTGAGTGGGCTGGGAGCAAAAGCTGGTCTGGTTGCTAGGATGCAGTGCTGCTGTTCCCAGAGCAACCAGTTTGTTTACTCCTGTGTGGCTCTGCCCCTTCTGGAATGCTAGTCTCATATTTAAAAAGAAAACATATACTGCTGCCGAGGAGACCGAGGCTGGGAGACAGCTGGGGGCAAACCTTCCAAAGACGGAGAACTGAAGACGTGGCACGTAGCCACAGAGGGTGAAAACTTGTCCGACAAACATCAGATAAGCGAGGACAGGTAATTTTCTATTCAATCAAATTGATGTGACTTCAAGGACTTAGCCAGCAGGCTTAGTTCTTTGTTCTCCTGTACCCTTCTCTGGGCTTTTACATTTCTCCATTTATCTGATACATTTCCTCCTTCATTTTTCAGGTTGTTTTCTCCCTTTTTATTCCTAACAACCATTTGGTTTCTTATTACAAGGTAGAGCTCATCTAGCTCTCCAGCCATATTCTTAAAACTTACTTCTGCAACTGGTGGAAGACTATCTTTTATTTTTGGGTGCTTTTTTTTCCCCCTTACTTCTCTGTGCTTGTCCATTTAATACTTCTTTCCCTTCTTTTCCTCATTCCATCACTGAAGGTTCATTTTTCCCTCTCAGTTCCACTTTCAAGGCACTTAGTTTCTCTTTTCTCCTAGCTTCCATTTCCATTTTCTTCAATTTTTTCATTCTCCAAGCCCAAATTTTATCCCCTGCATCTTCTTAGCAAACTCTTGGAGAACCTTGAGCATGAAAAATCTTTACATAACTTCCTTATTTTGCAGGTAAAAGGGCCAAGAATCTATCCAACCACCATGGACTTGTCTTTCCCTGTTCTAGCTTCTGCAATCAAAAATGATGCTTTTCCTGTTTCCAGGTTACATATCTCAAGGCCTGTGACTCTGTTTTTGCTTTACAGTCAGAACCTTTCAAAAACATAATGGCCAGATTGTTGCAAGCTCCACCCAAATGTCTTTCCCCGGACTGGCACATTGCAAACAAGATGCAGTGTGCCAGTACAGAGTCTCAGAAATCCAGTTCAGAACGCGTGACAGCTGAGAGTCAGAGGCTGGTGGATGAGACAGAAAAGACAACTCAGAAAACCCAAAGTGATGTCAACAAGAAAATAGGTAATCCTATGTGTTCTGCTAGTGTCAATATATGTTATTTCAGCTATGTGATTAAGATGGACTTAGCAACAGGAGTACATGTCAATGCTATGTTATCTGATCTCATGGAAAAAAAATCAAAGTACTTCAGAAATATTTTGAGGTAGTTTCTCTATTTTATAACAGATAATTATTAGTCCAAAACACACAGAAAAATATTCCATGCAAATTTTCAGACACAGCGTTGCAAAACTCTCTTTGAACATTAGCCTAAAGCACTAAATGCTCTCCACTGAGGATGAGGTCTATTTCTATCCTTAGCCAAGGCCTGATCCACAGTGCTCTGTCATAGAAGATGGGCTTGTACCAATACTTATTTGTAATTTTCAATCTGCAGAACAGAGACTGGAAGAAATAAAATTCTGGAAGCAAGAATTAGATGACAAGCTTGAACAGATTGTTAATGAGACAGAGGTACTATTGACTTTCAAGACCAGAGTGGGGAAAGCGTTAGAAAGCTGCAAAGAGCCACTTGTCATTGCCCAACAGTGTCTCCTGAACAGGTAAGATTAAGAAAGAAAAGCATGAAAGAAGAAATTCAGATAAGTGTCATTAACAAATAATAAAAAGGTGGCAAACTAAAGTCTTACCTCTATTCACAGCAGAGTCACAATCTGATTTTGTGTGGTGTAACACTGGGGAACCAAGGTTAGAAAAGAAAGATGACTGTTTCCAGTGTAGCAAGGAAAAGGCTTGGTTATGAAAAACTGAACTTCACCATCTTCTGCTAACTGCAGACACCTAAGCAATGTGGCTGATGGCTTTTCCTCTTTTTCTTTAGAGAGAGGCGAGTTGGGATTGACTTGGTCCATGACAAAGTGGAACAAGAACTGCTCAAGGAAGCTGAAGTCATAAAAGGAGTTATTGCTTTGCTTGAACACACATTGGGACAAATCAATGAGCAAATCAGGTGAAGAGCCAAAGAGCTTAACTGACCATTGGGTAGCTGAAAAGTAGGACAACATCTTCCTAAGAACCTCTAGGATCAGGCTGAATATGGGTCCAAAGTTACTTTCAGAGCTGAGCAGTTGTAGAAGCTCAGTTTAGTTTATCCAGTTGATCATTATTAGTAGGAAGTTAGTTTTAATTAGAAATGAAGGTATTTGCACATGATCCTTGGCTCACCAAGAGGATGCCTTTAATTCCAGTAGGAATTGTATAATCAGTTCTGTGGAGGCAGCATCATGAGGCTCACCAGAGGATGCCTTTAATTCCAGTAGGAATTGTATAATCACTTCTGTGGAGGCAGCATCATGCTCTGGATCTGTGGGCTTTACAATTAACAATTCATACATGTAGAATTCCAAAATCTAGTAATAGGCATTTGCATTGCCTATCACTCCTGATTCTTCGGACAGCCTTAGTGCCTAGGTACTGGCTCATTGACAAGCTGACCACTGTTAAGAGCTGGAGAAGATCATTGTTTTGTCAATCGATGTTCAGAGTCTGGTTGCCTTCCCTTCTAGATTAAACCGTTCAGCAAAGTACCAGCTGGAAATGGATCTGAGGGACAAGTTCACAGCCTTAATGATTGATGACTACTGTGCTGGCTTGACAAACAACACTCCAGATATCAGATATACTAATAATGCAGTGAAAATGGAAGGAAAGTAAGTGGTTATTTCAGTCAACATCCACTCAGCTCATTCAGCTAGTATGCATTTTAATCACAATAGAACAATTAAAGTAATTGTATGTCCATCGTATTTTTTTTATACTCTGTCCAACACTTCAGTATCTGTGAAACAAGCCACAATAACCATACTTCTAGTGAACTGCAGTTCATTAAAAGATTCTGAGATGTAGTGAAATTTCACACACTGCTGGCCCCCAGAATAAATTTACTAATCTAACATCTTCTCCCTGGTAGAGTGGCCAGGTAGAAAGAACGCTTGACTGGAACACAGGATGCAAGGGGTTGATTTCCGATTCTGTCAGTAAATTGTAATAAAGGCTCCTTCTGTGAATGGTTTGAGTAGAGAGTTACCATAAAACAACAGGCTGAAGACAGAAAAAGCATATGGTGAGAGAGTAGTGTATGTGACAAGCTGAAGGATGAATAGCCTTTGGAGATTAGTAGTGCTGTTGATGCTCTGAGAATGGACAAACTCAGAACACCAAGAGTCTGGCTGCTCTGCACAATGGCACTAGTATTAGTGTGCAGCAATAGCAGGTGTATAAGTTGGATAACATCTGAAAGGGTGTTGGCAGCTATGTGGAAATGATGGCTACAGGGTTATATACACACCCAGTGAAAACAGGGACCCTTTGAGAGACTTTCTAAACACCTTCTTACAAGCCACTGTTTGGATCTTCTACTTTTGGGTGTACAGGCACGTTTGGCTTTCCAACAGTTGCTCCAGCCAGGTAACTATGAGTGACTACTTTAGTGTGTATGTGAACTATGAGAGAGTAAGTAAATGCACTGTGTAACAGTTACCTGCCATTAATAGCAACTGCTTAATTCTGTCAATAAAAGCATCATTAATAAAAGGTGTCCTAAGAAATACCAGTTATCTGGGCACCCCCTGCAACTAAATCCCTCATCAAGAAAAACAAAAGTCGTAACAAACTTGCTTTTGACTTTATCAAACTGGTTTGCATCCTACACTTGCTTTCTCTGAAATGTTTGAGGTGGAGAATACTTTTTATCTGTAAAATTTCCAGCACAGCTAATGCTGGTTGGGGTCTGCAATTCACAACAGTGCTTTGTTGTTCTTAACACTAATACATGTATTTTGTGGCGTAATACCTATAGATTTATGAATTCACAGATAGTCTAATACTGACTGTTGATGTCCTTTCATTTTGTATCTCTTCCAGTTCTGTGAGCCTTGAAGACTGGGTTGATTTTTCAAACGTAAATATTGACAAGGCCGACAAACAGAGAAACAGTTCTTTGGCACTAAGGGCACTGATTGACCGCATCCTCTCCCAGACATTAAATGATATGCGCAAGCAACATGAGGCAGTGAATGTTGCTTTTAGAAATAGGGTGAAGGAGGTCAAAGATGCAAAACAGAAGCTAGAAACGCTCCTTGCAGTGGTAAGTGGTAGGTCAGCCAGTCAGAAATTGTGGAAACAGTGGGATGGGGTCATCAGCCTGTTCAGTTTCATGAGCTATTATTCTTTAAAATCTTCACCTTTGCAAGGACTTTTTCTCATGATTGTACTGCAAAATCTACAAGCATAGAAAAACAGGAGCAATCTGCCTCAAATAAGATACATGAAAACTGAGCTTTAATGCGAATATTTAATAGTTAATTGCAGAGTTTAAATCCCAACTCTTGCTCACTTCCTTTTCAATAAAGGAATAATAATCCCTATAAAACCTTTGAAAATGTTTTGATGACATACACCTTAAAACACTATGAGTTTTATTGTGATTGTTAGTAGAAACGCTATTAATATGTTGATGATCTCACTGTAAGCGGCAGTGTGCAGCACTTCCTTCTGTTGGGTTTTTAAGGTGATGAATGAGACTGCTTCACAGGAGAAGAACATTACAGCTTTAGAGAAAGCGATATCTGATAAAGAAGGACCCATTCAAGTGGCTCAGACTCGCTTACAGGCAAGAACCCATCGCCCCAATGTGGAACTATGTCGTGATATAGTGCAGTACAGGCTGATTAGTGAAGTTGAAGAAATTACAAACAATATTCAGAGGTAAGGGGGGGATGATGAAACAGTTGGAAATCTGTAGAATAGATTACTGTCTTTTTTTAATGAAAGGTTGGAAATGACACTTTAGGAGTGGAACACAAGGGGAAACTGTGTGACTGTGTCCCTGTGTGTTCATCAAGTTTCTTATTCTATATGAAAAATATCCATGTTTTTCGGCTGCCTTTTTTTTTTTTTTTTTTCACCCTGCTAGGTTAAAGGACACATTGGCACAGGCTAAAGCAGAGCTGAAAGGTCTGAGCCGCCAACAACTTTTCTTGGAGGAGGAGATCCAGGTCAAGGAGAATACACTGTACATTGATGAAGTGCTCTGCATGCAAATGAGGGAATCTGTTTCCATTAACAACTTTTGAAACTGTCACACTGTGAGGCTCCATACGTTCCAAGATATTAGCTCCTGCTCAGAGAGGGGATGGTGCAAAGTTGGAGTCCACAGTACACTACGGGTCCTAGTTTTGTGAGGTAATTAAAAGACGCTTAGCATGCCCAGTTCTCTGTTTTACAGATAGCTATGCTCCCCAACATTTGATGAAATCTCTCATTTAGCAATAAAGTTACAGAGTAAGAATAAACGTCCCTTCTTCCTGTTCCGTGAGTGCAACCCATGATATCTTTTGCTGTGGAAGCTACAGTAGGAGTTCCCTCATAAGCCAGAAAAATGTGCATTTGGCAGACCCTTAGGATCACACATGGCAGGTTTTTAAGAACTAGCAACATAGTATATATCAAATATAACAGCGGAAAATGTCTTAGCGCTGGGGAAAAAAAAATCAAATGCAAGAATAAATAATGGTGGAGACACGGAAGGCCAGTTCCCAAGTCCAACATTTTAATTCGTAGGATTGTAAATCTGTCTCTTGCACTCCTCTTGCTCTAATGGAATCACTCTTTGAGATTCAATGCTGAAAAGATTCAAATGCCCTACTAATGCCTTCCAAAGTATCAGTTCATCATTTGCAGGTGTGACTGGTTGTTTTTCTTTCTCCCTGTGGCTTATACCATTGGGTAGGTGATGACAAAATAATTAAGCTCTGAATCAATGAGGTATTTGAACTTCCTGTAAATATCACGCAACAGCCGATCCTCCTCACTGGTCTCTTGTCGAGCTGTGTAAATCCTGACCTGTGTGCATGAATGGTAGTCATGTCTCTCAGCTACGTGGCTCAGCCATTAAAACTGGCAGCAACAGAAAATCTCTGTGACCATGAAGGAATCCAGAGGAGCTAAATTACTTGGTTTTGAATCAAAATCCCGAGGTTGTTACTCTGTTTTGACTGTAGGCTGAGTGAAGACTGACTTGTCTTTTGCCAAAGAGTTTTCGGGGAGAATAAGACTCCTTTAGCCCCTAGAACAGAGGCATCCCTGTGATCTGCAGAGATCTGTGAGGGCCTACTGAAGCTTCAGTTTGGCAGGCAAAGCATTGTGAAAGCATGATTTTTCTCTAACTACTGCTCTCCCCTGGCCCCAGTTCAACACAGCATCCCCTTTTTTCAGACAGATGTATTTATACCCCTTTTGTAATTTCCTGGGATTCAACCACATGCTTCAAATTAAGCAAAGCCCCAAGCACTGGGCCTAGGATGGAACTGGGGATCCCTAGCTTGAACTGGGAGGTGGCAGGGGACCCTATGCCCAGCAACGCCTTGTGGAATAGCTGGAGTCAGTTCATAAATTTAATGGCATTCTGTGCATGCCTAAGTTGGAGAGACTGATTTCTGTGAGTGGCAGTCAGGATCCTTGCATATCACGCTAAAACGTCATATAGGGAAGGTGATTAAATTAATATTTCCATAAATAAGCTTTACATGGGGGCAGGAAATCTCACCTCTGGGTATGGGAGAGAGGAAAAGAATGGGAGCTTTTCAGCACAGATTCTTACCTTTATGGTAGTCAAAATGCATTTCTTTTCTGAACGGTTTTGTAGAAGCTTCTCCATGAAGGTGACACTAAGAAATGCCCAGACTTTCAAAAAAAACAACCTCTTGCATGATAAGATAAGCTGTAGCAACTCATCATCCAGCAGTTCATGGTCATTGTTTACTTCAAGAGTTAATTTCTTGAAAAAGAAAGAACACTGTTAGTACTTGTATAGCTCAACAAAACTTTTTATCAAAAGCAGAAGTAAATAAATCAACATCAGCTCCCCCCAATTTTACCAACAGAAGTTATTGTCAGCAGATCAATTCTGTATGTTAGCATTAGCAGAGAATCAGATTTTTGCAATAGTATAAGCTATCATAATTGCCACTTTCCCATTAAGATAGAGATCTCTCGTGCATTACACATCATTCTCAAACAAACAACAACTAGCACCATCCAGAAGGTGCTGCACCCACAGCTCATGCCATGATGTTACTTCATGTTTCAGAAATGATTCCAGAGAATAAAAAGTCATCCAAAGACAATTTCTAGAGAGCTTTAGAGATCTGTGGTGTTTACTGGAAAGTCTGCATGCAACAGAACTTAAAGTTATACGGCCATCTGCTTTCATCAGGCATGCACATGATGGTGCTTATTTACAAAGATCAGCTTAGCACAACTTCAGCATGTATCTTAACATGGGCATCAGTTAATGTACATGTGCTGTACATTGCCAAAATGGAGCAAAACTGTAAGGGCAGTTTGAGGCAGCCTACAGCCCTGTAAACAAATTGTGTACAGTATATGCAAACTTCCTATCAATTACTAACCTAACAAAGTCGTCCGTCAAGGATTAGGACAAAGCTTTCTCACAAAAATGACACTTTCCTGAAGTGTCAGAAAAGAGTCTGAAAGGCTCTTACTGCTGCCACGAATGCCTGTATCTCAGATTAGCATTTTATGAGGGCAACCTGACACCAGCCTGACATAAGAAGCAGCATGACAAGGATTTTTAACTGGACAAAGATAGTTACTGGAGTTAGACTATTGCTGGGCTGCTGAAATGACTGTCTCTTATGAAAATTACCTTCTGAACATACAACTGCCGTGGTCAGGCATTCCCATTGATGCCTGCCATTAGGCAGAAGGCCTGTAAGAGTATGAGAATTTGCTGAACCTTGTGATATTACAGTAAGATATTACTACTGCTCCCCTACCTGCAGAACATGCCTATAGGCTGGGAGGAGGTTTATGAGGGTAGGTCTCATTGTCCAGTCTGGATCACTGAAATAGCAGCTCCGTAAACTGATGCTCCTGACTGGGATCTCTGCTAGCAGGATCCTGGCTAGGTGATCATGCTTCATTACTCTTTCAAAGAAGAAGTTCACGTTCAGTTGTGGAGCTCTCTTGGCCAGGTTTGTCCATGACATCCCCCAGACCACTTGCCCATGAGGGTCATGGATATGGCATTTGATATTCAGGGTGCAGAGGGAATGAGCACTGTGCTTACACAAGATGTCCAGCAGTTCATCAGAGATGCAGTTGTAATTGAAGGTCAGGATGACCAGACTTTGGAACTTAGACACGGCTTGGTGGAACAATGTGCTGCTGTAGATGGGAAGGTGGAGACTAAAAAAATCTTCAATATTGACTTCAGATATAAAGCTTTTGTTCCTCAAGTAGCTCAAAGAACTCAGAAGCTCACAGCCTTCCTCCAGTGTCACTCTTGCTCCTTTTAAGTTGAGATAATCAAGATGTTTGCCCATTCTTTTCAGGAAGGTTCCTAAGTTTTTTAGAAACTGAGCCTTTACCACACTTTTCCAGACCGCACGGTCTAATTCCAGGTGCTGGATGCTCAGGGATACCAGGCGGCTGTTGCATTTACCCAAATGTGAAAGAAGACCTCTCATAGTGACTTGAAATTTTCTGGTCAAGACAGCATTGTAAGGATTCAATAACTTGATTTCAAGATGTTCCAAATACTTTCCAAATTTCTTGACATACCACAGAGCAGTTTCAAATTCAAATGTGTGTGCCCTTGATGGTCGTCCATTGAATGTGATGGTTCTGGTTCTCCAGAGTGATCCTGAGTACATGGCCCGACTCCATTTTTTACAGACCAAGGCAGCCCGAGATCTGTCCCTGTCATCTAGCCAATGGAAGACATGCCTCAGACAGACATCAGGTAAACCAGCCCAGCAGCTCTGCTCAGGGTCACTGTCATCTTCCATTGAGAAGAGAGTTTTTCACTTTTTTTTTTTTTTTTGTGATGAACCAAACCTAGATGAAGAAAGCCATGGCTAAATTATGTGTCATTTCTAACAGAATAAAGTCTTTCAAGTGAAAAGCTAAGATTGCTTCTTCACATTCAAAAGCAACAATCCTTTCTTTGCCTCTGTACTCAAGCTGTCATGATCAAACAAGCTCTTGGATCAAATTGTGGTCTAACCTAAGTCAAGATGGGCAAAAAATAAAAGCAATGCATAATTTAAAAATAAAAGTAAGAACACATCTTTCAGCTTTTTGGCCTTCAGTCTAGCTCAACAGTCAAGTCACAGGCTCCAGAAACCTTTGGTAAGCACCACATAATTGATGATTTCAGGTTTGATGCCTAGTTTTTAAAAGCATCCCTTACCTTGGGCTCTACAAAGATGCACAATAGTAAGTAAAACCAGCACAAATGACTGTTTTTAGCCTTCTGCTCATACAAGCTGTCCAGAAGCTCATCAAAGCCTGACTCATCTCAACAGTACCCAGTGACAGGATATGAGGCAATAGGCACATATTGAAACAGAGGAAATTCCATCTGAAAATATGAAAACACGTATTCACTGTGAGGGTAGGTGAACACTGAAACAGGTTGCCTAGAGAAACTGTGGAAACTCCTATCTTGGACATATTCAAAACTCTACCTAACTCTGCTTGAGTATGTAAGGACTAGATGCTCTCCAGAACTCCATTCTGTTCTCAACTATTGTGTGATTGTTTGATTTTTGTGATCCTGTGCCTGGATAATCTGAGGTAGTACCCTGCCAAAGATTATGGCAGGGTATGGCAGTCTAAAAACCATCAGTTTTTAGACTAATAAGGCATATAAACTGCCCTATCATAAGAGGTATCCACTTACTAAGTTCAAGTAGGATATTAAGGTTGGTGAGTCAGGAGAGCAACTGGGTAGTAGCAAAACAGGTAAGTTAACAGCAGCAAAACAAAGTTACCAGTTCTGCTATCCAGGCCGGCCTGTATAAGCACTCAGATCTTCAAGCACATTTCCAGATCTTGTCTTCTACCTCCAGAGTTCATGACTGCTTTCTGAAGCTCCTGACACTGCTCCCCCTTCTTCCTGCCGAAGTTCAGCCATTGCCAGGGAACAAAGAGGTGACCTTTGTGATGTCACGGCAAAGGCGGAAAGCAAAGGGACAAGGGCAAAGCCAGCTCCAGCTGAGGTGAAGGCAATGAAGAAGAAAGCAGAACTGCTTGGTAAAACCATAGCAAGAAAGAAATACAGGTCAGAACCTGCAGGTCAGACACAGGCTCTATTGCTTGTCTTCTCCTTTTCTGGCAACCATAAACAGTCAAGAAGGGAAATTATGAGCCACATCTTTCCAGTTATAACTTGCTAACTTCAGCTGCAAAATGCAAACTAGCTCCAGTTGTCTGTTAGGCCCTTGTTTTCATCAGGACATTTACAAATCAAGCTGGCTACCAGCCTGACTCTGTCAACAGCCAAAGGGGATGCCAACCTGCTTTGTAGAGAGCTTTGCAGAAAGGCAGTCCTTCAAACGCACTTCTCCTCTCTATGTTGCTTAAGTCTTACCATGGGATAAGGTTTGCCTTGGGGATGAAATACATGAAATACATTACTATTAGTAGGGGGCATTTATTGGGCTGTACTTGTCACTGTTGTAATCCATTAATATGAAGGGAGACGAAGGCCGTGACTTGAAAATTTTAACTCATACCATGAAAACACACAATTCTACAAGGTGATGGTGAAATACAAGTGGTATAGCACAGCATCCATGGGTCAGCTTCCCCATGATAGCCCTTTCCAGATTTTCTTTTTCCAGGCAGAAATATCTTGAAATAAATGTCTTACATTTCTCGTGTACTAATTTTCCTCTGGGGTGGGAAAAAAAAAGAATCACCACATCCTCTGTACGTGGCCTTTCCCTGCTGCCAGATCAAGCCCTGACAATTTCTGCTAAAACATTGAGCAATCAAACTATGTACCCACCCAGCAAACGTGCAGTGTGCCAGTGGAGGGAAGAAACTGTAAGAGTTTGGCCCAGAATAAATATACACTGCAAGCAACAGGAGCCATGACTTGGATCCCCAGCCGGACACGCCGCTCTGCGGACACTTCCGCCATCCTGTGTGCGATGGCGGTTGTGCTGGCGCCTCCGCTCCGGCCCGCCAGGGGCCGCTGCCGGGCTGGTCTCGTCAGGCGCCGCCGCCCAACGGGCGCCTCGCGCGCAGCCCGTGGGGGCGGCCCGGGACAGGAGCGCCAATCCGCAGGGCCGAAGCGGGCGGCGCGCGCTTTAAATGCGGCGCCGGGCGCGCAACGGCGGGCGCCCTCGTGGGGCGCGGGG